ATCCATAAACAAATCTTCCTCAAAACCAATTTCTTTAAGTTAAAAATCTCACTCTGTTTAAAATGTACAATAAATCCTTTCTTAATGTCCTCAATAATTTCCTGGAAATTGTGACTTTAAGCAAAACGACATATATCGAAATCAATTTTACATAGGCTAATTGATACAAAAAACAGTTAAGTATCTATGGCATATTTCTGGTCACAAAAGCATCATGAAACTTCAAAATAAATACCTCAAACACTTCTAATATTAAACACTGAAGTAAATGTAAACATTTAAGAAAGATTCAAGAAAACAGGTAAGACAATTATTTCCTTCATTATTCCAGTTCAGAGTTGAGGATGGCCACAGCCTATCTGCAAAGTTTAGGGAGAAGGTGAGGAACAACCTCCCTGCCGTCTGCCCCGACAGGATGCCATTCCATTGCAGGGTGCACTCACAGGCACACCCACAAGCACTCAGACCAGGGCCACTTAGACACTCCAACTCACTGATGTGTACATCCTAGGGATGTGGGAGGAAACAGGGGTACCCAGAGAAAGCCCACACAAGTGTGGGGAGAAGCTAGTAAATTCCATGCAAACCTTGGCTCCAGCTGGAATATGTTTTTTCTCGATATTACAACCAAACAATCTTCAATGAAACAATGTTATAACGCTACCTTTGAAACAATTTGTTACATATAAGTATTCAGAAGGAAAAGACTAAGAAATAAAATAATATGAAAATTAGAGGCTCAGGAGAAAGAATATAAAGGAAAGAGAGTGAAGTCTTAGTCCCTGGTTTAGTTTTTCTATTAGATAGCTGAATAACCTTGTCCTAGTCACCTGCGTTCCCTTGGCTTCAGTCTTCTTAGCAGGATAAAGGGGATGTTGGCTTTCATAAAGCAAACTCCATTTCAGTCTTTGTATCTTATTGTAAGCATGTCATTTATTATTTAGTGCTGCCAGGAGAGGAATTAACTGATACGTAATGAAGGCACGTGCTCAACCTTAGACAACATTACAATGAAAAGTAAAGGATAATTTTTTGTTTTCCAAAGAGAAATTCACCTATCCTCTGAAATTATCAAATATATTTATGGAAGGGTTACTCCAGTTTATTCTTAAGAAAGAGGAAATTGTGGTTATTCAGATTGTAGCTTGTGATGTTCTGCTATATTTTTCTTTACTAAATTATGTCTTGTCACTTCCTTTAAATAGTTAAAAATTTAGAGAACTGGGCTATAGTTGGGAAATAATGAAAAGCACTAGGTGACCTAAAATTGTTTAGAATGCATTCATGTTCTATTGTAAGAATGATAGTAAATCAAAGAAGAGTAACTAAAAGGGTTGCCTGCGGCTACTTTAACTGATGCACCAATGGCAGGCACAGGATTCACGTGGTGCTTTGTCTAACTATCATTTATTTTTCTCTTTCTACTCAAAGGCAGATGCAGCAGGATCCACTTAAACATTAGTCTTGTCAAATCGATGCTGGATTTCTCTTCTTTCCTAAAGGCAATTATACTAGCACAATATCATTATTATTGTCGAAGAAGCTGAGACTAGCTCTGTGCTCAAGATGCCAAAATAATTTAGTCATTGCCAAATGAATAGTTTAGCATTTTACAAACATGGCTTTGCTTGGACTAGTCTGAACCTTTTGAGATTGTTCAGAAATAAAATATAAGCCACTTGCTCAATCAACCAAAGCAATCAAAGAAAAATGAAGTCAAGCTTCAGTGCAAATAAAGGTTAGGACAATAATCATTTGGGGATAGAATAACACCAAACTCACTATTGATAATTTTTTAAGAATAAAGAAACACAATTTAGTCTACTTAGTGGAAGAACACTCTAGCGAGACTTTAATAATGGAATAAATAAACATATCTTGGCTTAAGTGCTTAAGCAGGGTGTGACTCCATCAAACCTCTGGCAGTAACTTTTTTTTTTTTTTTTTTTTTGAGACAGAATCTCTCTCTGTCACCCAGGCTGGAGTGCAGTGGTGCAATCTCGGCCCTCTGCAACCTCTGCCTCCCAGGGTTCAAACGATTCTCCTGCCTCAGCCTCCCAAGTAGCTGGGATTACAGGCACCTGCCACCATGCCCAGCTAAATTTTGTATTTTTTGTAGAGACGGGTTTTCACTATGTTGGCCAGGCTGGTCTCAAACTCCTGGCCTCAAGTTATTCACCCACCTTTGCCTCCCAAAGTGCTGGGATTACAGGCATGATCCACTGCACCTGGCTCTGGCAATGAATTTTTAAAGCTACCTTTTCCCCCTCCTGTTATGCTGCTTTCATTCATTCACATAAAATTACAAAGCTTCTACTACATGCCGGTGCTTGCTGGTCATGTGGAGGATGAGGTACCTACTTTGGAAGGTTGAAAATTGTTGTGACAAGGTTACGCATAGAGTGCTAAGAGACAAAGGCGTAATGTCTGGCCAAATTCAGAACCATCAAGGTGAGTGTCCCAGAGGAGGAAATTTTTCGCCAAAGTCTTAAAACATATAGGAGTTAAGCCACATGAAGAAGGGAGCTCAGGCTGTTCTTGGGAAGAGGATACCATTTCTGAACGATAGTTTCAGGCAACTACTGGAATATAGGTTACATGTATAAGAAGAGTGAGAGAGGAAGTTAACAGGGAAGGGGTCAGATCATTGAGAGCCTTGTAGGTTAAGCTGAGAAGCTTAAATTTCATCTTGGGCACTATGGGGAGTCGTTCGCAGAATGTAAAGAAGTAGAGTAACAAGATTTGCATGTTATAAAATTTTCTTTATATGCAGAGTTTAATCTATTCATATATTCAACAAATATTTATTAGTATTTACTATAAGAAATGTGCAGGAAAGGAAAATGCAGCAATAAGCAATAAAGTCTGGGTCCCTACCCTCATGGAGTTTACAGTTCCCCAATAGAGACAGGTAATCAATTGTTTATTACTGAAGGAGACCAGTTGAGATTCTATTTCAATAATCATGGTAAGAAGTGAGGAGGGTCACAATTGAGGCAGTAGTAGCAGAAGTGGAAAATAAAGGATGCATTTTTTTTAAGATAGGAGTAGACGTAACAAGATTTAGTCACTCTGATGACCAAAACCCAGATATGATATTCTAATAATAGCTATGTAGCTGATAAAGAGGTTTCACCTACTGAGTGGACATTCTATACCAAGTACTGAAACAAGCACTCTATTTTACTGAATGCTTATGGAAACTCTGTAAAGTATATATTAGTTGTCAATTTTATCAGAATCTGAGGATGTGATAGATTTCAAAAATGATTGCAACACTTTGCAGATTCTCCCATCAAGAGATGGAGCCTATTTCCCTATAAGACTTGGTCTTGTGGCTTGCTTTGATCAATAGAACACAACGGGAATGACATTCTACCAGCTTAGTCTAGCCCTGTCTCGTGGGCCCTTCTTCTGTTGTATCCCCATTATGCAGAGCAAGTATAAGTGATAACAAGATCAAGAAATAAAACCTGGAATGAGCCTCATGCATAAGGATTTCCTAAATTTTGTAAAACTTTTCAGGTTCTTCAGAAAAGACTCTACTACTTACATAAATTTTAAATCACATATTCTCTGTTTCTCGGTACACATCACTCCCTGCCTTTACCATCATGACACCTTAATGCCTCAGGAAAACTGATTGCCCATTTGGATCAGGAGCAAATGCTAAGGTACATGAATAAATCAAGGAATATCAGTACCTTTTAGGATCCTCTGTTAAGTTCTTGGGGCACAAGCAGTGAACCTCTGATGGTGTTTCATAGAAATCTATAAATGTAATTCTATAGCCTTGTAATAGTTTACCATAATAACCATGAGCCAAGAGTTCTGCTCTGTGGAGCCATTCATGGAATAATACGTCAGAACTAGAAGGGGAATTAAAGAAAATATATTCTAACTCTCTTCTTTCAAAGATGAGAAACTGAAGTTCAGAAATATTGTCACCAGCCCAAGGTTATACAATTCATTAGTTAGAAAGATGGAATCAAATACAGGTCTTCTAAAAACTCTGACTAATGCTATTGCAACTTAAAACTAGTGCTGCCTCCAGTGAATAATTGGTTAATAGCAGGGAAAATCAAAATGGACGCTTTGGTCTCCCTAGGAAATTTCATATCCTACAACATTAAAGTAAAACTAAATGAAAGGAATCTAAACAACAAAAGTGTAAGAGAACATATTTTAAAAAATGAAACAGTATTTCCTTAACAAGCCACATTTCAACACTTTTCTCGAAAAGCAAAAATCAATTTGTAGATAGTTCACTAGTGAGGTAAAATTCAGTTGAGACTATTTTTAAGCAAAATTAAACATTCAATAATAGGGTTTAAACACTTTGAAGAAGTTCTTTTAAAAAATGTTGTAGAGGTACAATTAATGTCTAAAAAAGAAACATTAGAAGTAAAATGATTGTGATCATTCTCTTTCCCCAGGTAAGATAATCTCCAATAATCATTTTATCCTTAAATAATAGTAACAACTTCAGAAGTTTAAACAATAACTCTTATTTAACCTGTAGTTTAAGAAATACATTTGAACTACCTAAAAATATCATAAATCCAACTTTTTCTAAAGTTCTCTAAATTGTGCATCTAATTGTCTTATTCTCACAATGGCAGTTTTGGTAATTTTTACAATTAAGGGATAAAAGTTTTCAAGAACTTTTTGAAAGTTACACGGGAAACTTGGAATAAATATAAAAACAGAACAAAGCTGGTGATTCAGTAGCTATACTGTGGGATGCCCTTCCAGCCAACACCGTTTTGGGAAACATCCTCAGACCCAGACTGATGAAGGAGTGGGCAGCCTTCTGTGCAACTTGTGACTTTCTAGCTAGCACAGTTGATGAGAAGAGAAGTTAGCATATATTTCAAGATAAGATAATCTTATTTTCTCTTGGAAATTTACATTTTGAGATTCAGGAATACAACTTGTTGGCATTGGTTCCTGGAGTTATAAGGTATTGTTCAACTGCTGTTAGAACCAGTGTCATAGAAACCTAGATTCACCATGAGTCATCAAGGGACTCAAAGACAGACGTATCCAGAGAAAAAGAGAATAAAGCTGAACATGCAGCCTCCAGCCCCAAAGAAAGAGGGAGAGAGAACAGGAGAATAGAATCTTATTAGAAGCCAGATGTATTTCGAGCAACTGGGTTCCTTGAAATTTCTCTGGTTCATAAGTGCTTCACAGACATAATGGGCTAGTAAATTAGGTCTTTATTTTGGAACAAATTGAGAGATATATTTGGAAGCATGACAGAGATCAAGCTGTCAGCTTTAATTGGGGATAAAAGCTAAGTTGGAGAAGGGCAAACTGCTAATAATTCACCCCAGATTTGTCAGATTTACCTACCTAGTCACAAGCCCAGTAATAATCACAGCATAGATGCAAAGATAGATAATGCATCTCTCTGCAGTCAGGCCAATTTCATAGTGAGAGAAGAAAGAAATAGGTGATCTATACATATGCAGTGTGTTCTTCCAAATCACCAAAGAATAAGTGCTGCCTCTCTTTTTGATGCTAGGTCTCCTCCAAGATATTCTTATTTAACTAGTCTACTTGTCACCTGGACATCAGGATTTTTGAAAACTTCTCAAGTGTTTCTATTGTGCAGCCTGTCATGAGAATATCCTCTCTAGGGAAGAAATAGTAGAGGTAGAAGTAGCCATCATCAATCCTTCAAGCCTTTTGCACTCTTACCTATTGGATTTGAACATCTTACGTAAGGTCATCTTGGGTTATGATTGTCCCTCTCAGGTAAGCATGTTAGCTTTTTTTCAGGACTAGTTTGCTTCCATACCCAAGAGGCTCCAATCAAAATACCAATGAGTTCTCCCTGGATTATCTGTGATCCTCTAACTCATAAGGTATATCCCACAAAAAGCTCCACAGCACATCAAAAAAAACAAAACAAACAAACAAAAAACTAACTCTAAGATTTGCTCAGTCCAAATTATATACCCTTTACTATTTCCCAGCTAAAATTATGTCAACCTATATTTCGTTATATCTCATCAAATTTTCTGCAATAAGATTAAATAACTTTGTGATGTACCAAAGATAAAATAACAGCTAAAATAAACTCCCCTTCCATTATGAGTTTCACAGAAATATTTTAAAATGTTCAAAGAAATTTTACATTTAAGATATCAATATTTTATTTAAGTAAAATAATTTGAAGCCTAAAAATTTAAAGTTCTTCTCAATTTCTTATTCCATTTAATCTCTGCAAGAAGTCTTGATACTTGAAGCTATAGTATGTTTCACCTATTGTAAAAGCTACGAATGCCATAGCACTAATAAAGTTGAACTTAGCCAAAGTCTCTCATGTATCTCATTAAAAAAAAGAATCAAAATATTCTGGTGGAGTGCAGAGGCTAATGCCTATAATCCCAGCACTTTGGGAGACTGAGGCAGGTGGATCACCTGAGATCAGGAGTTCAAGACCAGTCTGGTCAACATGGGGAAACCTTGTCTCTACTAAAAATACAAAAATTAGCTGGGCGTGGGGGTGCATACCTGTAATCCCAGCTACTCGGATGACTAAGGCAGGAAAATCACTTGAACCCAGGAGGCAGAGGTTGCAGTGAGCTGAGATTATGCCACTGCACTCCAGCCTGGGTGACAGAGTGAGACTCCATCTCATAAAAAAAAAAAAATCATGCCATAAAAAGTCAAATAATTAATAAAATATATCATAGCTTCATAGCCCTGGTCCATTTCTGACAAATCTAGATAACCAGCCAAACCCCAATACCTAGACATTTCTTCATAAAATTTTATTATAATAACATACTTAGTGTTGTCATTAACCAGTAGTTCTCATTCCCAAATGTATACTATCATTGTCTTGTATACTTTAAAAAAATACTAATATCTTACCCAATAATAGTTAAATCAGCATCTTTGAATGAGGACTGTGTAAAGATGTATTTTTTAAATCTCCCAAGGTTTTTTATTATTATTTTTTAGTAACCACAATAAAAGCAGTTCTAAGTTTACAGACGTTGAGTAGAAAGTACAGGGAGTTCCCATATTGCACCAGTGTGGTACCTTTGCTACACTGATGACACAATTTTGATGAATAATTATTAACTAAAATCTGTGGTTGACACTAACATTCACTCTGTGTTGTACATTCTATAGGTCTTAACAAATGGATGGCATATACCCAGTATTACTTATGATTCAAAATAGTTTCACTGGCCTTAAATTCCCCTAAGCTCCAATAATTCATTCTTTTTTCCCTCCACTGGAACCCCTGGCTCTCAACTACTGCTGTTTTCTTTTGTTCTGTCTTCACAGTTTTGCCTTTTCCAGATGAATTACCTAGTTGAAATCATTCTGTATGTAGCCTTTTCAGATTGACTTCTTTCACTTAGCAGTATATATCTCAGTTTTCTTCATGTCTTTTCATGGCTTGAAAGCTCATTTCTTCTTATTACTGAATAATATTCCAGTGTCTGGATGAACCACAGTTTATTTATCCATTCATCTATTTAGGGACGTCTCAGCCCAGGATATTTTAATGTCCAGCCAGAGTTAACCTCTGCCATAGACCATAGCAGAAACTCAATAGTATCTGAAGGAAGAGGAAATGGGGTAAATGTTTATTTTAGCCATAATGAGCTTTCAGGCAGTCAATTTCAGTGCATAAACACTTACGTGAAACAGAAGTGAGTGAAAGTTCTCATTATGGGGTTAATATTTTTGAATAAGCACCTATCATTTTAGAGGGAATCCACCTACTCAAACTGTCTTCTCATGCTGCCATTTGAGCTACTGCTGCCTTCTTGCAAAGTCTAGAAATTTACACTGGTAGCAGCTCCAGTCACCATATGCTGTTTTACTCCCTCCCTATCTCACCTCTAAATTTAATTTAATCCCTCCTAATTCCATTTATTTTTTGAGCTCTGTGCTTTCACACTTCCTTGTGAGCAAGCATTTTAGTCCTATGCTTTAATTCAGTCATTTAATAAGGGTAAGCTTAGAAATTTTTGAAATCTGTGGCACAGAAAAGAATTCCCCTAGTCCTCTCATTTATTTGAACTGGAGAATCACCTTCAGCATATTTCTAAGGTAAACTTGCTCTGTTTGTTTGTGTTTTTTTTCTTTTTCTGTAACTTGTGACCCCAGAAGCCTAAGATATACCAACTTTTGTCATATGCTCCTCAATACATCGTCTTGCTCAGCTTTTGAAAATCCCAGATCTTGTGAATCATTTGTTTTTGTTGTTTTTGTTTTCAAACAGCTTTATTGAAAATAATTCACCTGCCATACAACCTATTCATTTAGAGTATACCATCTAACATTTTTCAGTCTACTCACTGTGTTGCATGGCCATCAGCACAATTAAATTTTAGAACATTTCAACATCCTAAAACAAAAAAATCCTTGTTCCCATTAACAGTCAATCCCTATTCTATACCAACCCTAAGCAACTTACTAATATACTTCATTATTCTGGCCATTTAATACAAATATGTTCTTTTGTGGCTAGATTCTTTAACTTAGCATAATGTTTTTAAGAGTCATTGTGCCATAGCATGAATTAATACTTCATTTCTTTTTATTGCTAAATAATATTCCATTGTATGGATATGCCAGATTGTATGGACACATTTTTCAGCTGATAGACATTTGGGTTGTTTCCATTCTTGGGCCACTATGAATAGTATTGTCACGAATAATCATAAACAAGGTTTTGTATGGATATAGATTTTCATTTCATTTGGATATATACATTGGAATGGAATTGTGGGTCATATGATAACACTATGTTTAACTTTTGAGAAACTGCCAGACTATTTTTCAAAGTGACTGCACCATCTTACATTCCCACCAGCAGCATATACGCGTTCCAATTTCTCCACATCTTTGCTAAAGTTGCTGTTGTCATCTTTTTTATCATAGCCATCCAGTAAGTGTAAATAGCATCTCATTGTGGCTTTGATTTGATTTTCACTAATGATGTAGAACAACTTTTCATACACTTATTGGTCACATGTATATCTTCTCAGATAAAATACCTATTCAATTCCTTTCACCATTTTAAAATTGAGTTACTGCCTTTTTTATTGAATGGTAAGATTCATTTAAATATCTGGATATAAGTTATTTATCAGACATATGTTCTCTCATTCTGTGTTTTTTTTTTTTCTTGAGGATATAATTTGAAGCATAAAAGTTTTTAAATAATACAGTTTAATTTATTTTGTTTTTTTCCTACTTATGTTTTCAATGTGTTAACTACGAAAGTTTCCTAACCCATGATCATTAGGATTTACTCCTACATTTTTGGCAGGAATTTATAGTTTAATCCCTTATGTTTAAGTCTATGATCCATTCTGAGTTTTTATGTTTTTGTTTGTTTATTTCTTTGTTGTTATTTGTTTTTTGTTTTGCATATGATTTGAGGTAAGGTTCCAACTTTTTTCCTTTGAATATGGTCATTCAGTTTCCCCAGCAGTGTTTGTTGAAATGACTATTTTTTCACTATTTAATTTTCTTGGTACATTTGTCAAAAATAAATTGACCATATGTTTGTAATTATGCCAGTACCACACTGTCTTGATTACTGTAGCTATGCAGTAAGGGTTGAAATCAGGAAATATGAGCCAAGATCGCTTGACTATTCTGGGTCCCTTGCATTTCCTCATGAATTTTAACTTCAATTTGTCAATTTCTTCAAAAAAGCCAGCAAGAATTCTGACAGGGATTGCATTGAATATTTCCACCAATTTAGGAAGTAATGGGCATCTTAACATTATTAGTCTTTCAATCCATGAACATGAGATGTCTTTCTATTTATTTAAGGGTTTTTAAAATATCTTTAAGCAACGTTTTGTATTTTCTAGTGTACACATAAACCTTTTTGTTATACTTAAATATTTTGTTCTTTTTCATGCCATTTTGGTTGGAAATGTTTTAATTTCAAATGCATAATTTTCATTGCTAACCTATAGAAATAATTGATTTTTAGAAATTGATCTTTTATTTTTCAGCTTTCACAGGTTTTTAGTGTAATCCTTAGGATTTTCTGTATGCAAAATAATGTGATCTGCAAATAGAGATAGTTTTAATTCCTTCTTTCCAAATTAGATGTCTTTTATTTCCTCTTACCTAGTTGCCTGGGCTGGAAACTCCAACACAATGTTAAATTAAGGTGATGAAGTCAAACATCTGTGTCTGGTTCTTGATATTAGGGTGAAAATATCCATTCTTTCACTATTAAGTATGAGGTTAACTATTGATTTTTTAGAGATGGTCTTTACTAGGTATAAATGAGTATTTTTATCATGAAATGTAGTTGTAGTACATCAAATGTTTTCGAAATGACTGTATAATACTTTTTTCTTTTATTCTGTCAAAATGGCTTATTCCATTAATTAATTTTTGGATGTTAAGTCAACCTTGTGTTCCTAGGATAAATCCTACTTGTTCATGGAGTATAATCCTTTTAATATGTTATTGGATTTGGTTTGCTAGTATTTTGATGAGTAATTTTGCAAATATATTCATAAGCAATATTAAGTCGTAGCTTTTTTCTTCTAGTTTTACTATCAGGGTACTATTGCCCTCATAGGATGAGTTGGAAACTGTTTCCAACTCTTCTATTTGTTAAAAGAATTTGTGAAGTATTTATAGTAGTTTTTCTTTGAATGTTTGATAGATTTCACCAGTGAAAACATATGGTACTTGGCTTTTCTTTCAGGAAGTTTTAAAATGATCAATTCAATCTTTTGCTTATTATAGAT